GTATAAGTCATATGATTATTAACCATCCAGCACCTCACAGGCAGCTAGGCTAAGTCGGGGTAATAATGTCTATAATGTTGTATGCGCTTAGAGCATGTCTCTGTGGCATGGAGTTCTCCACTATATACGTGTCCAATTATTATTACAGAGTACCATTTTCTTTATGTTTTTGTGCTTGAAATATCTATATGGGACCATATCCACCTAAACTTACTGAAAACAAAACTAGGTCCATGATATTAAACTCCCTAACAACAATATTACTGGCACTTTGTGTGAACACAATCCAAGTATCGGCTGCAGATTCCTCTTAAAGAGGAACAGTCCTTATGCCATCTGACTTCGAATACATGAATATTTCTCTAAGATTATAGGGAGTGAACAGCAGTTTATGCCACCATCATATCAAGATTGTCTAATTATCAGTAGGCCTTTAAATCCCCACATAGCGATGAATCTACGAATTAATAATGGCCTCAACGCCCTGACTCACAATCTTGTCAGTGTTGGTCGGGGTATTCAATACCTGGACATGAAACAGCTTAACTTTACTCCTCTCTATCTACCCAAATATTCTGTTGAGGAAGACAAGAAATGCAACACATCATCCTGCACAAATACTGTGCGTGCGTGGGAACACAAACATGCTGTATCATCCCATCAGAACTTGAAAACTTCAGCTGTAATCCTCAGAAACCACTGGATGCAAGGTGGATAGCTCAGTCAGTTGAACAATGTGTAATACCTTCCTCTTTAACAAGAAAAGACATTCTCTCTATACACCCCATCCCCTCACCAATATTCAGTCAGTAAATATTTGCCAAATATATACCCCATCCCCTCACCAATATTCAGTCAGTCAATATTTGCCAACTATACACCCAGCGTGTGCACTTTGTATTCAGTGTAAACAACAATTTGGATATTTTGCCACTGGTATTCAGCAAGCATAGATTTTTCATGAATAGTTCATTGAAAGACAATTTAATTCTTACTGAATCTCTGTCAGTATTGGTACAGTGAAATTCTGTAGTACCAGTCACCTATAGCTGGCACCATTGTATGACAGAAGAACGATGTAGGCTAACGTGTACTGCATTAACTAGCCCACCCAGTACTTCCAGTTATCTGGACCAACAACTTTATAGCACTAGTTATATATTAATGACATGTTTTTACAATGGTTAAATCAATGTAACAAGGACAAATGTTTCTAATTACTTCATGAGTTTTATAGGTGTTTAATGATGCAGGTATGTAGGGAATGGCACTAAAATGTTTTACCATTTCTCTCACACACAGATTCAAGCAGACAGACACAGAGCTCCTTGAATCATGATTACATGAACGGTCACTTCTATCAGTCAGACATCTCCTTAAAAGACAAGCCAGGCCAGACAAGTCATTAAGTGAAATATTCCCTCGGTTGTGTTGTCACAGAGATTGTCAGGGTAAGATACACACAGTGTACATGGCACTATAGACAACAGGAAGCACTCACTGAAGTCTGACCTCACTCAGCTGTGTTGTCACAGAGATTGTCAGGGTAAGATACAGTGTACATGGACACAGCACAATAGACAACAGGAAACACTCACTGAAGTCTGACCTCACTCAGCTGTGTTGTCACAGAGATTGTCAGGGTAAGATACACACAGTGTACATGGACACAGCACTATAGACAACAGGAAGCACTCACTGAAGTCTGACCTCACTCAGCTGTGTTGTCACAGAGATTGTCAGGGTAAGATACACACAGTGTACATGGACACGGCACTATAGACAACAGGAAGCACTCACTGAAGTCTGACCTCACTCAGCTGTGTTGTCACAAAGGTTGTCAGGGTAAGATACACACAGTGTACATGGACACGGCACTATAGACAACAGGAAGCACTCACTGAAGTCTGACCTCACTCAGCTGTGTTGTCACAAAGGTTGTCAGGGTAAGATACACACAGTGTACATGGACACGGCACTATAGACAACAGGAAGCACTCGCTGAAGTCTGACCAAACTCAGTTCTGTTGTCAGGGTAAGATACACACAGTGTACATGGACACGGCACTATAGACAACAGGAAGCACTCACTGAAGTCTGACCTCACTCAGCTGTGTTGTCACAGAGATTGTCAGGGTAAGATACACACAGTGTACATCGACACGGCACTATAGACAACAGGAAGCACTCACTGAAGTCTGACCTCACTCAGTTGTGTTGTCAGGGTAAGATACACACAGTGTACATGGACACGGCACTATAGACAACAGAAAGCACTCACTGAAGTCTTACCTCACTCAGTTGTGTTGTCAGGGTAAGATACACACAGTGTACATGGACACGGCACTATAGACAACAGGAAGCACTCACTGAAGTCTGACCTCACTCAGCTGTGTTGTCACAGAGATTGTCAGGGTAAGATACACACAGTGTACATGGACACGGCACTATAGACAACAGGAAGCACTCACTGAAGTCTGACCTCACTCAGTTGTGTTGTCACAGAGATTGTCAGGGTAAGATACAGTGTACATGGACACGGCACTATAGACAACAGGAAGCACTCACTGAAGTCTGACCTCACTCAGTTGTGTTGTCAGGGTAAGATACACACTGTACATGGACACGGCACTATAGACAACAGGAAGCACTCACTGAAGTCTGACCTCACTCAGCTGTGTTGTCACAGAGATTGTCAGGGTAAGATACACACAGTGTACATGGACACGGCACTATAGACAACAGGAAGCACTCACTGAAGTCTGATCTCACTCAGCTGTGTTGTCAGGGTAAGATACACACAGTGTACATGGACACGGCACTATAAACAACAGGAAGCACTCACTGAAGTCTGACCTCACACAGCTGTGTTGTCAAAGAGATTGTCAGGGTAAGATACATACAGTGTACATGGACACGGCACTATAGACAACAGGAAGCACTCACTGAAGTCTGACCTCACTCAGTTGTGTTGTCACAGAGATTGTCAGGGTAAGATACAGCGTACATGGACACGGCACTATAGACAACAGGAAGCACTCACTGAAGTCTGACCTCACTCAGTTGTGTTGTCAGGGTAAGATACACACTGTACATGGACACGGCACTATAGACAACAGGAAGCACTCACTGAAGTCTTACCTCACTCAGTTGTGTTGTCAGGGTAAGATACACACAGTGTACATGGACACGGCACTATAGACAACAGGAAGCACTCACTGAAGTCTTACCTCACTCAGCTGTGTTGTCAAAGAGATTGTCAGGGTAAGATACGCACAGTGTACATGGACACGGCACTATAGACAACAGGAAGCACTCACTGAAGTCTGACCTCACTCAGTTGTGTTGTCACAGAGATTGTCAGGGTAAGATACAGTTTACATGGACACAGCACTATAGACAACAGGAAGCACTCACTGAAGTCTGACCTCACTCAGTTGTGTTGTCAGGGTAAGATACACACAGTGTACATGGACACGGCACTATAGACAACAGGAAGCACTCACTGAAGTCTGACCTCACTCAGTTGTGTTGTCACAGAGATTGTCAGGGTAAGATACAGTTTACATGGACACGGCACTATAGACAACAGGAAGCACTCACTGAAGTCTGACCTCACTCAGTTGTGTTGTCAGGGTAAGATACACACAGTGTACATGGACACGGCACTATAGACAACAGGAAGCACTCACTGAAGTCTGACCTCACTCAGCTGTGTTGTCACAGAGATTGTCAGGGTAAGATACGCACAGTGTACATTGACATGGCACTATAAACAACAGGAAGCACTCACTGAAGTCTGACCTCACTCAGCTGTGTTGTCACAAAGGTTGTCAGGGTAAGATACACACAGTGTACATGGACACAGCACTATAGACAACAGGAAGCACTCACTGAAGTCTGACCTCACTCAGTTGTGTTGTCAGGGTAAGATGCACACAGTGTACATGGACACAGCACTATAGACAACAGGAAGCACTCACTGAAGTCTGACCTCACTCAGCTGTGTTGTCACAGAGATTGTCAGGGTAAGATACACACAGTGTACATGGACACAGCACTATAGACAACAGGAAGCACTCACTGAAGTCTGACCTCACTCAGTTGTGTTGTCACAGAGATTGTCAGGGTAAGATACAGTGTACATGGACACGGCACTATAGACAACAGGAAGCACTCACTGAAGTCTTACCTCACTCAGTTGTGTTGTCAGGGTAAGATACACACTGTACATGGACACGGCACTATAGACAACAGGAAGCACTCACTGAAGTCTTACCTCACTCAGCTGTGTTGTCAGGGTAAGATACACACAGTGTACATGGACACGGCACTATAGACAACAGGAAGCACTCACTGAAGTCTTACCTCACTCAGTTGTGTTGTCAGGGTAAGATACACACAGTGTACATGGACACGGCACTAAGACAACAGGAAGCACTCACTGAAGTCTTACCTCACTCAGTTGTGTTGTCAGGGTAAGATACACACTGTACATGGACACGGCACTATAGACAACAGGAAGCACTCACTGAAGTCTGACCTCACTCAGTTGTGTTGTCAGGGTAAGATACACACAGTGTACATGGACACGGCACTATAGACAACAGGAAGCACTCACTGAAGTCTTACCTCACTCAGTTGTGTTGTCAGGGTAAGATACACACAGTGTACATGGACACGGCACTAAGACAACAGGAAGCACTCACTGAAGTCTGACCTCACTCAGTTGTGTTGTCAGGGTAAGATACACACAGTGTACATGGACACGACACTATAGACAACAGGAAGCACTCGCTGAAGTCTGACCTCACTCAGCTGTGTTGTCACAGAGATTGTCAGGGTAAGATACACACAGTGTACATGGACACGGCACTATAGACAACAGGAAGCACTCACTGAAGTCTGACCTCACTCAGCTGTGTTGTCACAGAGATTGTCAGGGTAAGATACACACAGTGTACATGGACATGGCAATATAGACAACAGGAAGTACTCACTGATGATAAAACCAACTGTGCAGTCATCAGGAAGACGGGTTTTCTTGCCAACAGTCATCAACCGACCTCCACTGAAAAAAGAAGAAGAAAGATCACAATTTGATACTGTAGTGTTATAAGGTATGACACAGTTATTTTAAACTCCATTTCTGAAGTCCTATAAATGCATTGTACTTCTTATTTCATGCGTCAGTAGACATTAAGCAGTCATATAAAGAAGCTAGCCTTTCATTATGTCTGTCGAACTCAGCTACCGCACGTCTTCCGTGACAGGACAGGGCCCTTTCACTCTAGCAGCTCTATCTACACAGTCGTTGTGAATAATCATTTTGATTTGAACAACTTGATTTTATCTTCAGGCCTTTTCAGTAAGCTGAAATGAATAGAAAACAGTTCATTTCCTACAGGCATGATTGGAAATAAATTCTTAAAACAACAATATTCCCCCAACATACAAGATGCAAAGGAGAAGTGAGGTGACACGGGTGTAATGTTGATAGAGATAGCCATGCATGGAGTGTTGCAGAGGTGACTGGCAGTAGCTACTATAGTGTTAGCCTACCCAGTGGCCACACTGCAGCTCAGACAAAACATACTGACTCTGAGCTGACTAGTCCTTTACCCACTTAATGCTGAGCACAAGGCTAGGTAACAACAAGTACCACATGTTTGGTGTGAGGCCGGGATCGAACTACCAGCCTTCCACACCCAGGTGGACACTATCACCAAGACAACAGAGGCTGTCTAGGAGATGTAGAGCACACAGACCAAGTGTTGTGTGTTGCAAGCAATGATTGCCTAAAAAATAAATGTATAATTCTTTCAACTTTTTCAAATTGCAAAGAGTAACTTGTTTTGAGTGTAAAATGTTCAGCTGACCAGCCTCACTCACTGAGAGATTAGTGATGTTATTTGATTGTGCTATCATGTGAAGACCAGTTTTGAGATATAAATTGTATAAAACAAATGTCCTTCACAAGACATACAAGGTGTGCACACAGCAACTGGTGTGTGCTGCAAGTGTGGTCAGCATACGTACCTAGCATGTGGCATCATCTTCAGAGCAAGACCCTTGCTGATACAGAACCCAGCCCCTCCAGTCGCAAACCAGAAAACAAGTTTTTGCTGAAATATAAACAATTCACATAAGATATAGGAATCATGTTTAACACAGACCAGCATCAATTCTGATGATACTGAACAGGGTAACCCTGTTAATCAGGAGAACTCTCTTTCATGTCCAGTGATTGTAGTGCTACCACTGTCATAAGTCTATGTGAAAATATACACATGGAACTAAAGTAAGCACCCCCTAACAATAACATAGTTTAAGTTACTGACTTACCTAATGATAAATCTTGAATTGTAACAATGACTATTATTTGAACTGTATTCCCTTTCAATATTGTTTAAGGGTTTTGCTAAATCAATCGTCGAAAAACATCTCAATATGCAGTTGAAGCACACTACCCACGATTGTCTCAAAAAGCACTATTAACTCAATGCAGCTAACTGTATAAAACGCCGAAACGTTTTAATAATTTTACCAGCATCTGTTACATCCGTATGAAGGAGACTACCAGAAGCAAGAAGATGGCAAATTATTGGAATGCATGACACCAGGATGTCATGCAGGGCTATTGGGCGACAGCTTGACATTCACCACGCCGTCATAAGTCGACTTGTTAAAAAACACCGTCAAACCGACAAGGTTAAGGACTGACCAAGGCCAGGTCAACCCTGAAACGTCTCAAGTTGAGGATCGGGATTTAGCAAGCCTTGAGAGACGTCAGCCTTTCACTACAAATGGCGTCCTGAAGCACCTATGGCTCCCCAAAAGACGTCTGTGCAATAGAACTGTAAGAAACCGTATAAAGGCACATGGGATGAGGGCAAGAAGGGTGATCAAGCTTCAAGCCTTGACCAATCTTCACAAGAGAGCTCATTTGGAGTGGTGTTTACCCCGAAGTCATTGGAATTTGATGTCATGGAGGAAGGTGCATTGTTCGGTTGAGAGTCACTTTTTATTGCACATCACAGTTGGGCGGCAGCGAGTCTGGAGGACCAAGAACAGTGCCTATGAGCCTAAGAACATTAGAGCATCAGTTCCTTACGGTGGTGGACCTGTCATGGTCTGGGGTTGTCTCTCTCATGATTGTAAACTGGACTTGGTAACTGTTTGTGGAAATCTCAATGGCAAGCCCAACATCCGGGACATTCTGGATCCTGTTCTTGTGCCACATTTTGATAACCATCCATTAGCCACTCGCCCTGTATTTATGGATGGCAACGCCCGACCAGATCGTTCCCGACTTGTGACAGTTTTTCTCCAACAACGCTGTAACCAAACTTCCATGAGCCCGGATCTGAACCCATTGGATCCTGTCTGGGGCATTCTTGGACACCGCGTGCAAGCACTGGATCCGCCTGTACAACATCTGGCATGTTTGGAAGCAGCTTTGTGCTGCGAGTGGCAGCAGCTGCCTCTGGAGTGAATCCAGAGACTCACGACAAACTTGAGGAGGAGGGTCAAAGCAGTTAACATATTTCATGTGATTTGTAGTCTGAAGATGACAGAGAACATTTTCAGACTGAGAGACACTCACCTGTCCCATTTTAGAACTCTGCAGCCCCATCGTTGTACAGGGATACATTTTGTTGACAAAACATCATTGACATTTCATGCCATTTTGTAAATGAAAATATTGCAAATTTTCATGATTTTGTTGTTACTGTTTAGTCCAAAATGTCAACATTCAGGAAACAATGGCTCTTAAGCTTTCCAGTATATCCACTAATGGTAATGGTTGCTCAGTTTCATAGCAATATGAAAAAATTCGGGGGGTGCTTAATAAAGTTCCATGTGTATATATTGTGATAGTTGTAGTCCTACATCTGCTTTGTGAAACATGGACCTGATTAACATTTCAATAGGGTTGGACATATCAAGGTCTCATTGTGGTAGAATTATTACCATTGAAACAAAGACATATGAAATCAATTCACAGATTTAGTCACTGTATCTAGCAGTGTTGGTATTGATCATACTGAATCATGGGGGGAAGTCGTAGAACTGGACAGGTTAATCAAGTGAAAGAATTCACTTCAATGTTCAAAGTGCACACTGAAGTAAAGTAAGCCAGTTCCTAACACTGACAAACACTCAATCAATAATCAATCAAATATATCTGACACGCTTCCCCACCAAAAAAATACAACAAAAACAATCTTGACAAATTTGAGAAGCATATCCATCGAACTAAATTTGAAAATACAAATTAAAGAAAGCATTTGAGAGATTGATTTCGCTGATGGAAGGTTGCTGTGAACTGTCTGCCAAGTGTAGTGGTGTCCAATATGACGCAGGCTGCAGACATGGTGTTATCATGGGTAAAGCAGGGTGGAGCTGGCCTTATACCGGGCCAGGACTTATTTATCAACACTCTTATATATTGACAGGGCAATATTGGTAGCAGGACTACTGAACAAGAGGCCTGCCTCTGCTATCTTATCGCTACACTCCACAAGCTTAAACCCTGGCATGGCCTTAGCGTCAGTTGCTGTGTGTCTTATCTCCAGTCACTCACATCAACATCTTCTATAAAGCTCAGCCTTCTACAAGTGTTCACTTGAGGAGATTGCAAGCCCATCATAGAGTAATACTATCATTACCAAGGAAATATTTAACAAATTTGTCACTTTAAGTTGATAAACACCATTTGGAAGACACAACATGCAGCATGTCTTTGCAGTAAAACATTCTCTTCAAAATGTTTTTCACTTTTAATAAAGAAAGCCTTTGTCAAAATGGAAAAAACACACACCAGAAATGAAAAAGCTGGATATTGAGATGGCAATGTGTTGGTCGATGTTAGCTCAGAAAGGGTCCGACATGTCTAGGATTGATGCCTCCAACCACTGGAGGTTAGACATTGAATCTCCAATAACTCGACCTTCATAATCAATCTAGCTTGTTTGTGTCTTGGCGTGATATTTTGACCAAAAAAGATACCTAGCTCTGCAGGGACAGAATCTCAATGGGTTCAATGACTTAAAAACTTTTAAAAAGCTATTTTCAACAGCTGAAGAATGAGCAACACTTCCAGAATCCAAAGCTGAAACATTGCCTATTCTGTCATTCATGATAATCAACACAAAATCAGTTTCATTGACTAGACTATGAAGATTTGCTGCCTATACCATCCCAAAATCCTTGAGCTCTTATTGATGCAGCCATATCCAATCAGAGCTGAACCCTAGGGCAACCATCGATTGAGTTCATGAAGACCATCTAGAATATGCATCATCTTGGGGATATTCATGCCTATTTGCAACACAAAATAGGCCTGTCCTTGTCCACTGCACACATTCATACATGAATATATTCATGGCTAGTCAGTTGGCAAGCAAAGTGGTTTTCCAACAGGTACATTTATAAGAAAGTTGATATATTTTTTTATGACAGTCAGTCAAGATCCAAAGAAAGCTTTGAGAAATCTTAAGTCCTGTGATATGATGTGTCTACAGAACACATGCAGATGAAATACTTCATGGAGGTTTTACACCTTGACCTACAAAACTAGGGGGGGGATTATTTTTTGGGGGGAGGCTAATCTTCATGTCAAGAATTTGGTACGATAATTTGGTTAGAATAAGTTTCCCGTATGATTGATATTTATCAGGTGAGCTTGCCAATATTATTCTTCAAGAAAGACTTGTGGAGATTGAAAGAACAACAGATGACTTAAAGCATGAATGAAAAAACTTGCTTCCTGTATTACTGATCGATGAGCATTACTTTCTCTGTATGAATCTTTTACCATACATGTTTACCATGTTTGTGCTCACTTTATCCATGTCGCCAAAGAATATCAGCTTGGGTCTAAGACTTGTTCACATGGAAATATTACCGAAATGCTGCTTTGAAGCCTGTTTAACTGTCGCTTTGACTCATTCTAGCCTTGATCATGCAATGACCAAACTTGAAGCTTGGTGCTGGTATTTTCATAATTGGAACCCATACTATACATCTCAAAAGCACTCAATAATTCTTAATTCTAATTCTTTTTATCCAATTATTCTACAATGTTATACTAGACGGAAAGAAGACTAGAGTTTAGGATGGAAATGTCTGCACAGTGAGGCTAAAATGCAATATTTACAATTTTTAAAAATATTAGTGACATCTTGGTTTTGGGAACAAATTTAGTTCCATCATAAGGTTTACAGTGTGATAAATCAAGAACATTTACACTTGAAGCATGACGATTGAAGGAATATCAGACATATTGATAGCTGAGTTTGTCCCCGTTCCCAGAGTTTTGTCTAATGACTAACAGCATGAGCAGTGATCCAGGGTAAAGATTTGCAGGGTTAAACATGCACTGTCTGATCTACAACAGGGTAATCCACACTTGGGGTGCCTTCTGTCACCATCCAATCCACAAAGAGAATGGTGCGTTGGAGATCTCATCTGACCTGCCTCACATTGAGCACATGGGGATCTCGTAACATCCAATCCACAAAGAGAATGGGGTGTTTGACCTGCCTTACACTGAACACATGGGGATCCCGTAACATCCAATCCACAAAGAGAATGGGGTGTTGGAGATCTCATGTGACCTGCCTTATATTGAGCACATGGGGATCCCGTAATCCACAAGAAAGAAGGGAAAACAGAGACCTATGGTATACCATCCAAACCATAAGAGGTATGAGAGATCTCACAGTATCTGATCCATATTGCATTGGATGCATCATAACCCAAGACAGCACTGGGTTCAGTAAATCTGTTCAGATCTTCCCCATTTGATCCATAACAAAAAAAGTCTTTGAGAAATTTTGCAGCATCTGATCCATGACAAGCATGACATATTGGATGACTGTCCTGACCATCAGATGACAAGCATGATGTGTGTAGAGCTGCATCTTACCCCACCACCACTGCTGAAGCCAGAATATCGGTAGAAATGCCAATGGGTAAATTATAAGTAGGTATCAACAGTGACTATTTCAACTTTCTTGAATATTCTGTCCAAAACACCTCATAAAGGTTTTAACTCTATGATTATTTTTAACTTTTAACCCAACTAACTGACAGTCTAAACCTACAGTAGGCTACAGCT